CAAGACAAACTCCCATCATACATCTCCATCCGTCTCTGTCCACACCGCTGCAGGCAAATACCCTGGCACAGCACGCCATCGAATTAGGATTAGCGTCACTCATTGGCAGTGATGTTATTACTGCTACCAAGAGTTAAGAGTAACTTTATATACAGTGCACAAATCACATACAGAGTTAATGAAGTAAAAGTCAAGACTATGACCTGTACAAGTGTGTGCCCTGACCTGAGTGCAACAGAACACCAACAACAAAACCCCTCCAGCGAATTACTGCTTCACGCTCTCGGGTACAGGTTGGATTCAGACAGAAATCTGCAGCCCAATCCAATTAATAAATGGGCATATCAATAAAAACCCAAAGTTAGTAGCTCTTTTAAATGAAACTTATAATCGGAAGCTCTTCAGTGTTTTCTCTTATTTCTTTCTCATTTTTAAAGAACAGAACCAAATTTTGAGCATCCTCAGCATAAGAGGACTCTGTTTAGTGTAAACGGCAGTGAACCTTCTCTTCTTGCTCTATAAAGCACAAAAGTGTTGCCCCATTCCATGGTAAGAATAAATATGACTTTATTATTGTTTTTTTAAATTATGTAATAAGATGTGAGGCGGTCTGTCAAAGCTGATGCATCCTGGCTGCCTTCAGGACCAATTAACTTGAACAGTTCTACTAAATTTCCCTTTAATGGCCTTTCTAGTCTGGCAAGAATAAAATTATTTGTGAAACGCTAAGATGGATAATGCTCGGATCAGCAGTCGAGCACTAAGTGAGCAACAGCCTGAGCGGTGGAGGGCAGCGTCCTGGTTGTCACTCCTACAATAGGTTTGATAAGAAGGCGTTTAGAACATAAAATGTGTAAATTTATGAGCCCTGACATTTCTCCACTAATACGCTTTGATGTCCCTTCCGTTCCTCTGCTATATTGCTCCCATTTTTCATTCAACACACCAAGTGTCTTTACCTCCTCTCCTGCTCCCTCTGCTGAGTGCTGGAGACAGATAGAGGGTGCGGAGGGAGAGAGGAGGAGCGGAGAGAAGAGATGGATCTGGAGACAGGAGGTGTAAAGCAGGGCCTGTGCTCACAGATAGCCTCTCAAACATTACCCCAGATGACAGATGCTTCCAAAAGGACACACATATTTAAAGGTACACTATGCACACACATAAACACCAGCACAAGCACGCACAACCCAGGAGAATTGTGAAGGGGCAGATTCTATAGAAAACATTTCTGAAACAGGATTTGATGGAAAAAACTGAAGCATGTGAGGGTTAGAAAAATTAGTTATTAAGCTGAAATGGCTGAAGCAAACACTGTCCTTCCCAAACTCGGGCCCAGGACCAAATGTCGGTTAATGAGAGAAAGACCTAAGACAGGAGACGACTGTGAAATCAAGCTCTATTAAATTAGGACAGGTGCTTGCTAAACTGAGCTTCAAAGCATAAGAAAGCAGTCCTTGAGCTTTATAGCTAAGGTACCCACCAATAACCTGCTTCCTTTTTCAGATCAGTGGTTAGTACTGAGTAACTTTATTCACATATTTAATGTGCTGCATGTGTTGACCTAAATCTGTTACCAGTGCCAGCCCAATCCATGCTCCAAGTTAAATTCTTACACATGAATCTTTCTTTATAGTTTAATTAGTCAAATTAAATGGCTCTCCTCTTCTTTGGCTTTGGGTAAAAACCAATACAATTTTATTACAGCAAAATGACTTAACACAAAATCTGAAAATGGACAGACAGATATTTTATGGTGCTGTTTTTGCTGTGCATAGTGAGCTGGCATCAACACCTCAGCTGTAAAAGACCTCAGGAGAAAAACTGAAGAACAACATGCTAATGTATTCACTGTGGTTGGTTGTTCAGTGAGGAAAAAGACCAACACTCATCATAGTCTTCACTGGGTTTTACACACCATATGTATAATCTATCAGACGTATGTGCTAAAGGGGGTGTGACTGGAACGCCGCATGCATGTGCATGTGCAGACACCTCAAAGATCCATTACTAGCTTGTCCTTCAAGGATCCACTGAAGGTAGGAGACATTGTATTTTACAGTACACATTCACATTGTGGAAAGGTTTGCCCTCTTTACTCTGGGCTTACAAGAGGTGCAGTGCCAGGCAATTTTTTCACAATTATAGCTCAACATCTTGGACAGAACCTGGGTCGCTCTCATGAACCCACAATCAGATGAAGTGGGACACAAGGAGCAGACAGGAAAACTTGTGGTGTAGTAAACAGCAGTAAAGAACGGCTGTTTGATGAAATGATTGCTTGCAGACTTGATAAGTGAATTCAAATGGACAACCAAGTTGGACAGTGTATTTACAGTACATTTACTTTTGTGTGTTTATCTTTCATATATATTTTTATACATGTTCCATTGTCATCTCTATGCTACATACATATCAGTTGCTGCACATGCTGAAAGCCCATAGGAGATGTGCGCCATTGCAGAAAATCAATTTTAAAAAAGCTAAAGGTTAAAGATTCAATTTCAAATGTGGGATACATCTTGTCTTTGTATCCAAATTTCTGTAAAGCAACCCTGTTTCATAAAAAAGTTGTTTATATACGTCTATGTTGTTTCCATATACACTGCAGTGAGAAACACAATCACTGCCAAAGTTACATTCACAAGCCGTGATTTCTGAGGGAAACTGGATGGATGGTGAGTGTACAAAGGGTAAGACTGACACCTGACACATCCTGGATTCTGTGTGCAGTCTGGGTTTAGCAGAAGGACTTTGGTTAAGGTTAGGAAAGGATTACAGTATCAGTTGACCTTTATTACAGAAAACACGTCCTGTCCTGCAGTTCAAGTCGCTGCTGAGTTTTTGTGTATTAAACAGCTAATGTGATGTTTCTCTAACTAAGTGCTGCCATGTCTTAGCCTAATTATAACCATAAATAGCTTAATTGTTGTTATCACTATAAGTGGTTTTGTATTACAATATATTTTGGAAGAAAAGATACATTCTCACTGAAAACTTACTTATGCATTTAGAACACTTTGCAACTTTCCACATTTTTCTCCGTATAGTGATAAAAACTGTTGTTGTTGTTGCAAACAGTTGTACACAGATGAAACTTCTAGCAGACAGGGTTGATGGCAATACATCTCTGACTGCGTATCAAACCAGTTAAGGGTTGGCCACTAGCCACCTGGCTGATGTTTCACATCCAAATTTTACTGCCACTCTTGAATTTATATGAATTCAATTTAACTGAACTGTTGACTATTCACCATGCATTAGTGGAGGTGTGCAGGACTTCAGTACCTGTCTAAAATGTATTCCTGTGCAAAGCAAACCAGCATGAAAAAGAGAGGGGTAGTAAAAAAAAAAAAAAGATTGAAATGATTCTAATAGAATAAAGCACCATTGCAGTCACTGGTGGCAGCTATAGCTAATTTAACAAACACCTCAGCCACTGAAATGCAAATGTTCCTATGTCACAATGCACAACCAGTGCAGTAAGTGAGGCTTTCAGTTGGAGGTTCGTTTGCCAAAATTAAAAATTACAGACAAACAGGCATTCAGCAGGGGGTCGGGCCTGAGAGAGAACCTGTTCTAAAAGAAAACATTTGGTTTCCACGCTGAACACCTGCCTGTACCACAACAGTTCACACAAACATGCACTCATTCACTGCTGGTTCAGCTGTGCAGAGAAGCTAAGTACAAGCTGGTGTGGAAGTCATGTCGCTCCTAATCCCCCTCCTGCAGTTCACCTACTGTTTGTGGTTAGCACAATAGTTCTCAGGGGTGCAATGTTTCATCACGCCCTCCTCCTCGCTGCTACATGCATTGCATGCGGTGGATGTAAGATCTGTGGTGGCGGTGGTATCTTCCTGCAACATGCACACTGACAACTGGGGTTTGGGGCACAGAGACAGACCTCTGAGGCTGCTGCTTGAAGGATAGTGACTTGAAGGAAAGACAAGGAGACGGAGGGTGATGAAAGACACAGGAGCTGAAATTGTGGGATCAGAGTTAAAGGAACAGACGAGGTGAGATGTCACGAGAAAGCAAAATGGTGGCAGTATAATCATCTCTAGGGGCTGGAACGGTGTGCTGGTGACTGCTGAAATGTATGGAAATTCTTAGGAAAGCAAGGTAGTACAAGTTAAAGGAAAAGGTTCATTCTCACTTGAAGTATAAGATGAAGAAAGGGGAAGCAAAAAGGCACTGGAAGGAAAATGTGTAAGATAGAAAAATACAAGTTAAACCTGGTAAAAAAAAGACAAAGAAAGACTACAAAAGAATGTGACAGTGGTCTTACTGATAACCTGTCATTTACTTTACACACTAGGCAGGGCTACTGCCAGGCTCACTATGAAAGTTCATTTGTTTTCAGTAAAATCAGTTTAAGTGATTTTATTTCCCCAGCCAAAGGTTTTGGCTCATATTCATTAAGTCAGCAGTAACAGCATGACCCTGTTGAAAATTTATGGCAGGGTAATTTCAGCTGATTCATTCAATTAGCACAGTGATTAGCTCAGTTGAATTACATTATTGCATTATTGTCCCTCAAGTCGCAGGTGAAAGTGAGCAACTGTCAACATGTTAATATTTAATGTCATGTTACATATTTAACAGCGACATGCGACTGGCCGTGCGCGGTAGCATAACAAATCATGTGCTGTCTGGAAGACAAAGATGGCCGAGCTGAAAAGGGGATTTGGAGCCTGGCCTTTAAATAAACCCATGAGAAATTACAACATTTGAGCTTTCATAAAATTCCAATGTGCTGGAAGCTGTACAGTAGTTTCAACATAAAGATGTAAATGTCAATAAAATCTAGGGACACAATTTTTCTCCTCATCTGATTCACATTCAGTTTATGTGAACATAGTGTTTACCATTACTTTAAATGTTACTAGGAAATGTTCTCATTAGGTGTTGTCAGCGGCTCAGTTTAACAAGATGAGAGTTAGGAATGAAACTATTCACTGGTGTGTTCCTTGACATAAATTAAGGGAATGAGAAGCTCTCACCCTGCCATGACGATAAAGAAGTCCAGTCGGTTCCATGTGTCCCCGAGGTAACAACGACGACCAAAGATTCCCAAGGCGACCATCTTTATAACCATCTCTAGAGCAAAGAAGATGTAGATAAATGCGTCAAAGGCCTAAAAGAAAGACAGAAGGAGAGACAGAAACAAGGGGTCACAAGCCAAGTAGCCAGAGAATGTTCTTCCTCCCTACTGTGTGCAACACAACATCCATTCATCTCCACTGGGGTGGAGTCAGAAATGGCAAGGCGGCCATCTATCAACCTCATCAGGTGAAAGTGAAACTAATTGGCTAAACATAAGTGGAGGGAAGTAGAAAGAAAGTTTGTTAATCAGATGAACAATGGAGGCCACAAGTTTAAAAACCAAAATCATGCCAACAGATTTGTGACTTTGCATCATGTCATATAAATCTTGAACACCTTTACATGAAAGGGTTAATGACTGGGCTGCAGCAGCAGGTAGAAATACATCACCTGGTGCATGTTATCCCAGTTGGACTGCCTGCTGTCAATAACATAGTGTACAGCGACATAGGGGGGGTTCTGACTCATGTTTATCAAATGGGCAGTTACAGCTAATGCAAACACACACTGAATTATCTTAGGCCTGCTCCAGCTCCATGTGTTTGGACATCCCAGCCTTAAATTAACATGAGGTCTAAAGGACCTAGATCTGTCCCAGTTCACAGTAAGTCCACAAGGAAGACATCTGACAACTGCCTACACTGTTGGTACCTATGGTTGGTCCTGTGAGATGCGGAACCTGTTTCCTGCGGTAAACCGTACTCATTTCCTGTTTTCTGTATTTGCACTGCGTTGTGCTTGCTTCCAGATTGTTTAGGAATTAAACTCACTATTTTCTAGGTTCATCTGAATTTTTGAGTGACAACATACGCTTGCACCACTTAAAGCACTTGTTTTGCAGAAGTTCTTGCTAACTACCAAATTTAACTTGCTACTTTAGGTCGGCTAGTTTAGAAGCTAGCTAAGCTAGTAGCTTAATCGAGAGCAATGGCTTCCCCCTCTTCCTCTCCTCCTTTCTCTTGCTCGGAGTGTCGCATGTTCAGTTATTCCTCTGCCTCCTTTAGCGATAATGGTACTTGTAATAAATGTCAAATGCTAGCATCATTGGAGGCGAGGCTCACAGACTTAGAAGCGCGGCTACACACCATGGAGAATAGGCCAGCTAGCTATGCCCACGTAGC